CACCTTGATCTGGTGAAATGAAGCAAACTTACCCACATGTTAAAGTGGCCGTAGCAGTCTCAGAATGCTGAAACTCCTTTGGTGGTATTGGAGCCTCATAAAATAGCGGCTGCCAATTGTAATAGAGAAAATTCATCATAATTTCATTCATTTCCCACAATGCAAAGATAATCATGCACCTTTTTTTCTTTTTGTTAGTAATCATGCACATTACCACCTTGTTCACTTCAAAAGGACTCGTTATCTTATTTGATAAAGGGAGGATCCGCTCATATAAAGCTCTTGTCAAGTGATCTACTACGGGAATATTTTCAGATGTATTATGGATTTGCCCGACAGTTATGGTAGAAAGGTAAACTGGTTGAAGAAAGTAAGAAAGCAAAGCACCTGCAGGCAAAGGAAGAAAGAACTTGACACTTAATTCATATGAAAAAAAAAATCACTATATATCATCAAATGAAGATGTAAGACAATTCAAATTTTCAAATATTAAATTATTGACGTACAGATGTGTGCTATAATTCCATAGATGTGAAAGTATCATGATTGTACTTGGATGCAAAAATGAAAAATAAAATAAATAAAAATAAAGTGAACTATTTAATTTTCTACAAAACCATATTAATAAAAGTAATATTACTTAAATGGACATGCTGGGGAAGGTAATGCAGGGGACAATAGAATGCAAGGAGGTTACGAATTTGGAGAAGAGATAGATAAGGAAATCTTATGCAATGTTTGGTTCACTGGAATGAAGTTAGAATGGAATGTTCATTCTATCGGAATACCCATTCTCATGTTTGATTCAGTAAAACAGAAACGAATTTCCATCGGAAATGGAATCACCATAAACCAATTTAGGAGAATGCTCATTCCATCAGGAGGCCAAGAAATTGTCATTCTATTCTTGTCTAAAATTATTCCAATGAACCAAACACTACCTTAGAGTTTTACATTGTTAGCAAATACATGATTCAAAGAAAATTGTTCTTTTCTTTTCTTTTTTGAGTTGTAAGTAGGAAATAAGATAGGAGAGAGTTTACGGATGGAAGACAGACTCATAGTAATAGACTTTTGTATCAGGACAAGATCAAAGAAGAAAATTGAAAATAAATTATGAAACAAATGTCAAGTGATGATCGATGGCTATTTGTATCAACAGAGTGGCAAACATGCCTTTGGAGAATCCAAAGAGGATTGAATCACTGTTCATATGGAAATTATGATATGAGCCATGATTGAACTTTCTATATTTAGGAACCATAAAAGTTCTTAATTGTGTAGATCAACAAAAAGGAAACTGAGAAGATGATGAGCTAAACTGAAATAATTATTCTAAGGGCACTAATGATGAGGCCAAAGATTATTAGAGCAAAAGAATACGAAACTAAGAAAGGTGGAATAGATACTTCCGTGAATTATTTGATGAAAATCTAAGGCGGGCCCCCACTTTGTTGCTTCCAGTGGCCGCCAAGTGATTATAAGCTGTCATGATGCATCTACCATACCAACCCTTAACAGAATATGTAAACTAGAAATGTAAACACATACCATCATTTGTAATTATATTAGCAGACTGCAGTATAGATTACATGGTTTACTAATGATAGAAGTATTATTACTTTGGTACAAACCAAAACAAGTAATGAACCTTGTACTCCAACAACATTCCAACGGGCAATCTTATCAGAGCAACTCACTGAAAGAGTCGTATCCCCACGACCAGGCTTCCTCTGAACCATGCCAACACCCTTTGCACAATCACCTAAAACATGATTTAACAATATATCCATATAAGCAAATGATGAATTACTTGGTGTTTTTCATCATTTAGAAACCTTGAACTGGTAATCAATATCCAAAAAACATGTATTCCTTACAAAAGGTAATAAAACATGACTAACATAGATCTGCACATATTTATCTCTCATTCTAGCAACAAGCCAACAAGTGTCCATTAAAAGAATCATTTTAAATGAAGCAACAATTAGTAATCCACACAAGAAGCAAGATCTTAGTGAGTCATGAATAAGCATGGCGAACAAAGAATTGGTCGTCCAGTCCACCATTACCATTTTTCCTCATAGAAGCATCTGACCTATCAAATTTACTCAATTCGGATGGTGAGCACCTTCTTTGAAGGGAATAGTTTGCAAAGGAGACAACAATGAATTGACTGAGGCATCCCCACCTACAAGAAAGAAAAGACAATAATGTGCAACCAAAAGAAAGAGTTGAACATTAACGCAATCATAGAAGGATTCAAAGGGCATCACCATACTTACATGGTAGCTGTGATATGTATAAATGCAGTTTCCAACCTGCTCTCATTTTGTATTTTCCTTGGCCAAGGCCATCCGCGTCCAAATAAAAAAGTGAGTTTGTGACACCATCACCTTGCAATGGTATGCTTCCATTAGTATGCTGAAGTTTATTGTTAATGTTTGTTAAACAGTGAATCTCCGCATAGAAATACCTGGTAGGATTTAAACATTTTTATAGATCACATTATTGGTAACAATTGATTTGTTTCTACTAAGATTTTTGTTAAGAGCATATCTAATGGGACATATCAAACACATATCTCACTCTCTTATACGAGTGTCAAGTGTCCAATACAGGTACTTCATCTATTTTGAAGAGTCCATGTAACATAGAATATAGTCAAGCCCATATATAGGATGCAGAAACTCCACTACTTTCCTTTTTTTTGAGAACGCAGACAATTTTGAAATTTTTGTTCAATTTTTTTTGAGATACAAACGGCACAAACAGCCCAAAGATTTATGAAGATTAAAACCCCTCACTCAAATTTTGAAACCCAAAGATAGAATATCTTACAACCCCTGTCTATTTTCCGCATCTAATAGCGTTAGACGATGCTCAGGGATATATATATTGTAGGTACTTGCTGCATATATTGGGTAAAAGAACATTAAAGTTCATAAGGGAAGCAACGATGTGGTGGCTAGGTAGAGAAACATGCCGATGCAAACGCGGGCGGGGCCGGGGGCGGGGGGAGTTCCACTTCCTCCCCATCTCCGATCTCCCGAAGGTAAAAACATTAAGCGACATTACTATACCACTGTTCGCAGTGCGACCCCTAACGGGGAGATCGGCGCGTTTCTCCCTGCCAACGAAAACCTGACCAGAGAATAATCCTCAGAGACAATTAGAGTGCAGTTCACTTACATAACACAAGCAGACCATATACAGTTACAGTCCCCAACTATATTCAGATGCCAAACAACCAAATCACATCATCACACATTGTGTCATCAATCAACAACAGGGCAACAGATGGGGTGATGCAACTAGTAGTAGATATATATATTACTATATAGGACAAACTTAAAAAAAAATTACAAAAACTTATTCACAATTAGATAATAGTCATATAATATAATGAACATATATAGAGAGAAGAGAGAGAAGAGAGAATGGAGAGAGGAGAGAGAGAGAGATAAGGAGGGGGCTTCACGAGTCCAGCAGGTGCGACGGTCACGAGGTACCTAGGTCCGCTCGCTTTCCAGATCGGTGGCACACGAAGCTCTCACGGAACATGGGCCTATGGTCTCAAGGATTCTCGCTTCATAACACAGCGATCGGATGGTGTGGATTTGGATGATTGAGCTGAGTAGAGTGAGTGAAGGGAGAGAAGATGAGAGAAATGGTGAGATCTCAGAGAGAGAGATCTGAGTCAGTGAGTGAGGGATCGAGAAGAGATGAGAGAGGAGTGCATTGGAAGATAACAACGAGGGAGAGAGGATGAGAGACCGGGGAGACAGAGAGAGATCTGAGTCAGTGAGTGCGGAGGATAGAGAGGATGAGAGAAGTTATGTGAGGGAGAAGAGAGTTCAGAATATGATATTAAGTTGAGTTGAGGTAGTATGTCATATTAGACATAATATAATATAACACCGGTAATATTGTCCAGTGTGCACTTATAAAACATATATATGCCAGTGCAACTGCCTAAACATATATATATATTATATATATATATATAATTATAAATATTTAGTATTTAATAAGCAAGGGGAGAGACTATCGGAGCCGGAGTGCTCAGCAAAATTGACGGGGCGGGGCCAGGAGCAAGGACGCAAAGGACCTCATGCAGCCTTGCACATAAGTCTACCCCGGCTCGAAATGACAGGGGATTCTAATTTTCACAAAATACACGATCCTAGAGCAGGCCCGCTTGTAGGCGGTATTAATATTTTGGGGCGAACCCGTTCCAAAAAATCGGGGTGCGGGGGTGGCGGAGTTCCCATCCCGGGGCTAGTGCTAAGAGGCGACGATTCCTATAAGGCGGAAGAGAGAAAAATTGGAAATGAATATCAAACAAAAGCTGTGCGATAGCCCCAGTATCTGATAACACTGATTCAACGCAGAAAAATTCAATGCCTATAAAGTAAGAAATCATGGCAAGTAAATATAAAATGCAATCATAATCAAATCGCGCTCTCTTCTTCATGCGCATTCATCGTGTGAAATTCACCAGTGGTTAGCACTCCTCATCACTCTGATCATTCTGCTTTGTATCTTTCTAGTTGCCTATTTGGTGAAGTTACAATCTTCGACCAATTGTATTATCATGTTACGATGGGTTTTCTGAACCTAATGACACAATAAAGTGTTCTTTAACATGGTTTGTGGATAAATGACAAGAACTTGCATTTGAGAGTACATCTACGAATTATTCACAACTTGAAAAGAGCAAGTTTTTTTGAACTAGATGCGCAGATAGGCGCCTGTGTTTCTTTAGCATTGGTTTGAATAAAAAATTGATGTGTGTTTAATAATCTCTAATTTGTTAAATATCAACCAACCATAATAGTGGTTGCACATGTGACAAACGCCTAAAAAGACTTCTCTTCACACGGTTAATATGACGACACAAATCGACTTAGTTCTTCCCTCAACAGTACTGTTGAAATGGAGGAATAAGTAAAGCAGGGGAGTTACTATATAATAGGCCGCCCAAAGGGAACAAACATAGTACGGTTTTTAAGCCTTTTGTTTTAACTTTCGCGGGATTATTAAACTCAGTGCATCAATTCAAATCACAGCTAAAACATATGGGAGGATTATCGTGGTTTTAATTTTCATAATGTCAGGGAAAAATCTGGGCACCGGAGCAACCCACCCAAATTCAACAGGGGCATAAAAGGTAAGAATTCCCTCCTTTCTTTTATATCATACCTAGGTAAGTTTGTTGAGAATTTGGACACAAAGAAATTTTTAGAGAGTAATTATTCATCATTTTCCACACTGGATATTTAGCCAACTTATGCTTGTGCGCATAATAGTAGTTCTGCTTGGCTTCGCTCTATTGCAAACCTTAATGCTAATTAATGAATGCGGACCATAGGTTTTTATAAAAACGCGGACCCTGGACACGGCCGGTTGCAAAGACCGGTTGAACCGGTGACCGGTTGGGGTTCGGCGCCGGGTCCGGTCAACCCTTTCGTATCAAACGGGGCGGCCATTGAAAAAACCGGGCCCTAAATTTTGTGAAAACGACGGAATGAACGCGGTAGATATCTCCGGTGCACCCAGGTTTAGTATCGAAAATCTCACGCGTGTTGCCGGCCCTTTTTTTTTTTTTATTAATGCACACCTGTATATATTATTTTCTTTCCTTTCTTTCTTTATATACATATAATAATATTTATATTAATACATAATGTATAAAAATTTAAATGAGGAAACTCCTCCTTAAAGCGGACTAACGCTCGTTGTGCAGGTAATGACCAGGTCATTAGAAAGCTTGAAAATTACTGTGAAAAAGCTCACTATTTATAAGAAAAAATTCTTACCAAAAAAACCTCAAAGAAATCTATGTGAGGATTTCGGACTCAAAACTTCATTTGGCGAAGGTGAAACGCTTAAAAATTTGATATCTACCTCGCAAAATATTTTGCTCTTCTTTCAAAGTCATAAGTAGTTTTGATTATTTAAAATCACATAATGGAAGGCAATAATTAAATACTTGATTTTTCTTTCCAAAACAAAATGAATAATTAATATATTTTTAAATTATATTTATTATAATTCTAGGTTACATAAAATAATTAAGAGGGGTATTAAGAGATAATATTAAGATATTAACAATTTATAAATTTATAATTTTATTACTTATATATTTAATTTATTATAGTTATATTTTAATGGATATATTTAATAGACGTCACGGTTCGATCCACCGGTTCAACCCGATGGTTTAGGAACCGGTGAACAGCCGTCCACCAGTCGGCAGAGTCATATTTCCGAGGTTCATTCAACCGCAGAGGGTTTATTATAACTTGGTTGCTTTTTGCTACGCAGGAAAAAAA